AAAAAAAAAAAAAAAAAAAAAACCTTGGAGCCGCAGCCGCCGCAGCGCATCGGCAAAAAAAAAAAAAAAAAAAAAACTTCCACGCCCGCTGAGCGCGCCACCCGCGCCAAAAAAAAAACGTCAGCCTCGCCGCCCTCGGCTGCGTCCACGCCCATGCGCAGGAGGCCCTCCCCGTACGCGTGCATCCACTTGCGGTCGATCCAGTCCTTGAGCGGCCAGAGCCACGGCGCCTCGAGCGCCAGCAGCCCGCGCGTCGCCACGCACGAGCCGTCGCCGGTCCCAACGAGCCCGAGGAAGGAAGCCTGCGGCACGTACGTCTCGAGCGGCTCGCCGAGCAGCGCGGCGTGCAGGTTGCGCGCGAGCGGCGGGCCCATGCGCACCGCGAACACGCCCGCCTTGGGCCGCGGGTGCCCGTCGATGGAGGCCACGTCCCCGGCAGCGAAGACGCAGTCGGAGCCGGGCACGCGCAGGTTTGCGTCCACGCGCAGGAAGCCCGCGGGGTCTGTCGCGAGGCCGGAGGTGCTCACCCAGCGCTGCGGCGCGCCCTCCGTGCACCAGATTGACTCGTCGGCGCGCACGCGCCCGCCATCGGCCAGCCGGAGCTCGCGGCTGCCCGCGTCGAAGGCGACGGCCTCGCAGCCGGCGAGCACCTCGATGCCGCGCGCCGCGAGTGCCGTGCCCATCGCCGCGCGCACCGCCGCCGAGTGGCGCGGCATCAGCGCGTGCGAGCGTGAGACGATTCGCACGCGCACGCGCGCGGCGGGTTCGGCCACGCCGCGCGCGCGCAGCTCGGCATGCAGCCGCGCGCGCACGGCCAGCGCGAGCTCGACGCCGCCGCCGCCGCCGCCGACGATGGCCACCTCCACCGGCTCCGCATCGCTGCCGTCGTCTGCCGCGGCGACCGTGCGCGCGAGCAGCACGTCCCAGCGGCGGCCAAAGCCGTCGATCGGCTTGACCGGTGTGACGCCTGCGACGGGCGCGCGCTTGGCGCTTTCGAAGCCGTCCTCACCGCCGAAGAGCCGCGGCGTGCAGCCGATGTTGATCGAGAGCACATCGTAGCGCAGTGCAGGCCGCCCACCGCCCAGCTGCACGCGCTTCCGCAGCAGGTCGAGGCCCGTCGCCTCGGCGTGCACGAGCCGCGCGCCGGCGAACGCGGCGAGCTTGACCAGGTCGAGGTGGCACTCCTTGCGCGTGTAGCTGCCCGCCACGTGCCCGGGCAACATCCCCGAGTAGGGTGTCTCCACGTCGCGCGTCACCAGCGTCAGCCGCACGCCGGGCAGCGGGCGCATGCTCCACATGCGCAGCACGTGTACGTGTGAGTGGCCACCACCCACAAGCACGAGCTCCTTGAGCACGGGCACGGACGATCCACCGCCCATCGCGGGCGAGGCGGCGCGCCCGCGCAGCCACGTCGGCAGCAGCCGGTGCAGCTCGCGCAGCCCCTGCTGCAGGTGCGACAACGGCCGGGCGAACATCAGCGACGGGTCCGCTGCGATGGCCGCCTCGCCGCCCGCGTCGAGCACGTCGATCCGGCGCACACGCTCGAGCCAGACGAGCACGCGCAGCTCGTTGAGCCACGAGAGCAGCCGCAGCGGGTCGGACGCAAACGGCCAGCCGTCACGCAGCGCGTGCCGCGCGTAGAGCAGCGCCACGCCCAGCTCGAGCAGGAGCCGGCGGGCTAGGTAAGCAGGCGCGCCCACCGCCGCGCCAGCGAGCCGCGCGGTGGCGGCCGAGAGCCGCGAGGGGGCTGCGCGCGTCGAGCCGGAAGTCATGCCGATGGCCGCCGGCATTGTTGATTGCAGTGCGCGCGCCGCGGGTAAAGCGGACGCGACGCGGATGCGCGGCGCGGCTAGCGAGTGGGCGGCGGGGTGGATGAAGAGTAAGACCAGGGCCACGACGCAGTGAAGCTGCGGAGCCAGTGTGTCCTAAGGAAGCCGAGGAGAGAGGCCCCTCCTTCGCGCGGGTTGTCGAGCTTCGAGAGGACGTCAGCGAGCGCGCTGCAAGGTTCTTCATTAAGGACGCCAGCCTAAATGAGTGCGTCCAAATATATCTTTAATACCGTGCGTTTTGTACCGCTCCCGTAGCTCAGTGGATTAGAGCGCTGGCCTCCTAAGCCAGCGGTCGTGAGTTCGAACCTCACCTGGAGTTCTTTTTCATTTTGTTGTTGTTGCTCTTTATATATGTTTCATGTTTGCACTTCTTTTATTCGGGTGGTAAGTAGGTACAACTATGTTGCTGTAACCACAAATCCAAAGCAATGCCCGCTACATATTTTTAACCGAAGAAGTTATGCTGTGAATATATCTCGATATGTTACTTGAATTATTTTTAGCATTTTATTAAGGATGTTATTTGTTATATATAATCAGCCTGACTTGAACTTGAAGCGTACCGCCAGCCCGAACCCCCATACATTAATATATTAGCGGCTCAGCATGGTTCAACAGGTCTTGTTCAGTCACTGGCTTGGTCGACGTCAGGCTGAGGTCGAGCAATCGACCCAAACCCTCATGCACCAGCACTCACACCATGTTATCTGTTACTGCGGGCTCAGCGAACCTGCGAAGATCGAGGCTATTTATCAAGATTGGCCTCTTGAGAGTCCCCTTTCTCGATTCCAAGGCTCAGTGCGCACCAGACAAGTAGACTGACAAGCGGCAGCTAACGGCAACGCGCCTAGCGGCGCTCATCAGCCCGCGCGGCCGCCAAGCGAACTGGGCGAGGCGAGGCCGGGGTGCAGCCGGGAGTGGCTTGCGGAGAGTGGTCCAGCAGCCGTGCGCTCCACGCGCATGGGCATGGCCCCCCTCCACTCGCCGCCTCGCCCCTACGCCCGCGCGCCTCGTCTGCTCCGCCTGCACAGCCTTGCTCGTCGCTCTTGCCCCCCGCGTCGACCTGCGGCGAACGCCAGTGTCGCCTGGAGCGGGAGGTTAGCTCGACGGCCGATTCTGGAAGCGCGAGTAGTACGTCTCGGGGGTCTTCAAAGGGTCGTCGTACTTGCCCCACGCGTCCACCTGCGGCGGAGCCAGCGTCGCCTGAAGCGGGCGGCTTGTTGCCTCGAGAAAGTCTCCTGCGAGCCAGCCGTCCTGCAAAATGTCTGTCCGCAGCTTGTCGCGCAGGTGCATGGCCAGCGCCGCGTATATGGTGGCGAACTCAAAGTCCGACTTGACCATCCACAGCCTGCGTTCGCGTGTGGCCTCGACCGAGGAGGCGATGAGCCGGTCGAGGGCACGCATGTCCCCGCCCACGCTGTCGACCCGCGCGAGCGCCTCGAGTCTGCGCAGAGGAGCGGCGGAGCGGAGGGGTGGCGGGGCGGCGGGGAGGAGCAGCGGTGAACGAGTGCGCGTGGCGG